ATATATATATATATATATATATATATATATATATATATATAATGTACGGTGTAGTTTATATAAGATTTCAATTTTAAACAATTATAGTAAGGTGTACCTCTAAACCTTGCCTGAGGATGCAGTTTTGGCGCTAGAAGTCCCTAGGATGGCTTGAAAGTCTATTTCCACCCCTGATTATGAAATCTAAAGCTCCAAAAATGATGCGGATTGAGCCTATAAACACTTGAGAATCTTGAAAATAGACAGTCCATATAAAAATCATATTATATTAAATAAGATATTATATAACAACCTTTGTGGTGATAGTTCTTACCGCATTGTGAATGATAAGTCAATAGTTTGAACCTTATGAGTTGAGATTTTGTATTGTTCCATATTAAGTAACTATTTCTTAAGGTTATATAATGGGAACAGTTTATATAGAGCTGAGGCTCTAAACAATCAAATTTGAGCCTAGCTAAAAATTTTTACTAGAAGAGGTTGTTTTGATGCCCAAATATCTTCAAATTGATCATCTCGACATCAAGATGTATGGACATGAGAAAAATGGATTGCAAGTTTTGGAAATAGTGTATTTTGTAATGCAGTTTTGGACCGTCAATTTTCAAGATTTTCAAGTTTTCATAGATATATTGATCTACACTAAGCTTTAAACTTTATAAATAAATATGAAAATATATTTTAAGGCTATCACAAAGATTTTCAATATTGAAACAACATTTCTCAACACTATTTGAAGGTAGGCTCTAATTTGATTGTTTAGAGCCTAAGCTCTATACAAACCGTGCACCCTTATATAATACAGCTACAATTCTATATGCATGTGCATGAGCTTGATGGGGTAGACCATATTGCCCCATGCTACAAGCTTTTAAGTTCAAATTTGGGGCCCTCACTCCCATTTTTTGATGACATGTTTTGAGAAGTGTCGACTCATAATGGCATACGACCCATGGGAAAAATCCATGTGTTGGGGTAACACTGCTTTGGACAATTATTAATTAAACATGTGCAAACGTTCTCATATATGAAGTGAATTTGGATACATGAAGTTTTGAATATAGGTATGAGGAAGAGGGAGGCGTGTTTGTTCGAGGTGTGTGTGGGACTAGTACGACACTCAAGTTAACATGTTCTGGCCCTTGTATGGGAGCCTTGGGGAAGCAGAAAGTGAAATTGACACTAGTTGGGGGGATGACAAACACTCCATCCTTTGATTGTTGTATGACCCTTTCTTAGTTTACTTTGGATAATCTTCACATATATTATATCTCCCTTCTCACAATGCCTAAGAATTTGAGGCCTCAATTTGAGGAACATCAAAGGGTTGGATCTTATTTTCCTCTCAGTTCCCTCTTGATTCCAAAGATGTTGGAATCTCGATTTTATAAATGAAGGAATCTTGGTTCCATAATGGTTGATTCCAATTCGGTTGGAAACTCGATTCCATAGAGCTAGGAACCTCGATCCATCTATATAGGGATCTCAACTCGATTTTGGTCGAATCTCAATTCCTACAAAATAAGAATTTTGTTTTCCACAATTCCTCTTGCATGGATGTTAATTCCGAAAATAGGAATCTACCACCCAGCTGTAATACCGTGATTCCGATTCCTAAAATAATTCGGATTTGGAACTATTGCCAACAACTATGATCTTAACCAAAGTTACTCAGAAAGATGCTAACCCTTTGGGCACTATAAGACCACAAATGGTTGATGTGGACATGGTTAATGTGGTTCATTTTAAACAGAAACCACGATGTTCACCCTCATATAGTGGTTCCGCCACCATCCGAGGCATGAATCTTAATTTTGAAGGAGCAGCAAAAGGAACCTAGGGCTTCTAAGCATAGGGGTGTCACTAGATTTGGTGATGTAGTGACATTAAAATGCATGAACACCCTTTGGCTTGATGGCATAAAATACCAAAATAGTTTTCAGTTAAAGACTTTGATGGCCTAGGGAGTATTACCATTTAAGAAAAGGGGAAAGAGATGGCCATAGGATTATTGCTAGACCTTTTTCAATGTCACCTGATGGTTTTGAGAGGGCACCTGGCTCCAGGGAAGTTGCGAAAGATTTTTCTTTTCCCCTTTTTTGTGAAAATCGGTTAGACAGTTACTTAATATGGATATCATTTGTCCACCAAGAGATGCAAACGTGAGTGATATAGTTCCAAATATGGGTGTATCGAGGAATGTAATGGGATATGTGACTTCATGTGATCGTACCTGCGCTTTCTCTCCACTTATGCCTATAAATCTCAGTCCTTTATGACATTAACTTATAATGAAATATTTGTAGCTGGCCCTAACTAGTTGACCATGCAGGACCCAAAATGCATCATCATGGATGTAAACAACAAGAACTGTGGCATACATATAACACTTGTCTTACTAAATGACGTAGACGAATATGATACATATAAATCAATATACAAGTCATTTTTAGCAAGTTTAATCATTGTATATCATACCACTCTACCATAAGACAAATAATCACCATCATTTTTATCCAGGGTTAGATGAAATTTACTGTTACAATTTAATAATGGCTCCCTTCACCAATACCTGAGCCTTCCCATTGTCAGTTCCAAGTTCTCATAAATAATGCGATTGATGCTGAAACCGTAAAAGTTAAACCACAGCACTCAAGCAGTTGAGTTGGACCAATTAAAAAAAAGAAAAAAAAAAAAGTGGCATCCTTATATATAAAATCACACAAAAGTTGAATATAAGGAAACTTGAAGTAGATAATAAGTGCAGTTAATTACCTCATTATCATCAGAAATGAAATACTTAACAGAAAGGCTTCTTACAGATCAAATAAATCTTCACCTTCAAGTCCGCTCCTGTTGTTCTTTTCTACAGAGGCTTCAAAAATAGCTCATTCTCATTGTGATCCACATACCCCATTTGTTTTCTTCCCCAATGCTGTTTTTGAAGTGACCAAGACCCCAAAGCCTATTTCAATTGAATAGGTTCCTTTCTTTGGCATCAAATGGGAAAGAAGTTACAATCTCAGAAATCACACTGCCTCACCTTCTTTCTTAACAAATAATTAATCCATGTCATATTGCAACATGAGCCTCTCCATTGAATTATGGCTCACTACTTGTCTCGAGTACAACTCATGCAAAACTTTTGAAGCCAATTCTATCTCATTTTGATGAGCAATCCCTTCAATAAGAATAGTATATGTCGTCTCATTAGGGATAAAACCTTTTTGCACCATGCCTTCCAATACATCAACAGAAAGATCAGTTCTTTGAGCCTTGCATAAGCCAAGTATAAGAGCATTATAATTATCCACTTCAGGCCTGAAATTGTTCTCTTCCATAACTGTGAAAAGCTCCATAGCCTCGTCCAACATGCCTTCCAAACAAAGACCCCTGATCAAAGAAGAGTTAGTGTAAGTATCAGGGGTGAACCCATTCATGGTCATCTCATTCAATAGCTGAAAAGCTGGCAAAGTGTTCCCCTTTCTACACAAGCTAGCAATCACATTCTGGTAGAACTCATGCATTGAAGCATTTTGCTTACTACCCAAGTTCTGAATCATAGAAAAAGCCTCACCAACCCTTCCATTTCTACAAATAAGTGCAAGTGCATTATAAGTACCTTCATTAGGGCTGCATCGTCTAAGAACCATCTCATCAAGAATCTCTCTCACTTGATCAACTTTTCCTTCTCTGCAAAAACTTGCTACTATCGGGTTGTAGCTAGCAGCTGTGGGTCTAAATCCATTTCGAATCGTCTCTCTCAAGATCTCTATCGCTTGATCAGTTCTCAAGTGTAGAGAGAGAGAACCAATCAAGATATTATACGTAACAATAGTTGGGCTGCAATTGTTACTACCCATCTCAGCCAAAAGCTCCTCAGCCTCCTCCCACCTCCCCGCAAAACACAAACTCCTTAATAAAATGTTATATGTGACCACATTTGGGCTGAATCCCTTTGATGGCAGGTTCCTGAAAAACTTAATCCCTTCTTCTATCCTCCCTTCTTTACACAACCCAGTTAGCAAAACATTATAGGCAACCACATTAGGCTTCCCACCTTTCATCATGATATCATCCAATAACTTCATGGCTTCATCAACCCCTTGTTCTTTATAAGCAGCTTCAAGCAAGAAAGAATAAGTGAATACATTTGGGGTGAGCCCCTTCTGCATCAATTTTTCCAAAAGTTGCAGGCTTTGCTGCAAATTTCCATGGATACATAGACCTCGAACCAGAGAATTATATGTGACAGTATTTGGGGGTAACCCATATTGGTCCATTTTCTCAACTAATTGCATGGCATAGCCTATGTTCCCTTTCTTGCACAACTGGTTAACCAGATAAGTGTAAGTAGCTATATCAGGAACTTGGCCTGAACCCACTATTATTTCCATGACCCTTACTGCTTTTCTGATCTTATTGGACTTGCAAAGGTCATATAAGAGTTGTGTACTCTGAGCCATATCAGGTCTGTGTCCTTTACCATACATGTATTCCAGATAGAGGAAGGCATCATTCATTCTGAGATCTTTGGTTTTCTGGTCATTCTTTCTGAATCTCCATTGGGGTAGCGTGAAAACACTCTCTCTCTCACTAGAAGGGGCAGAGACATTTCTCACTGCTAAAATTTTGGAAATGCTCCTTTGAAATTTACAACCAATAGCTCTGGGAAAGAGTGAAATGGGTCCTCTGCTTTTTCCACTGTTTTCAGAAGGAATGCTCGAAATATAGGAAAGAGTGTGAACAAGAGATCCCATGAGTGTCAAAGGAGCCACCTTTACTTCAACTGAGCAAAAACCAGAGGAGAAAAACCCAGAAACTATGACTTTGTCAGTCTTATAGTAAGACAAATATTCAAGAGGAAGTGAACTCCGAGACAATTGTAGCAAATGGTTCCTGGTATGTTTGAATTTAGAGAGAGAGAGAGAGAGAGAGAGAGAGAGAGAGAGAGAGTAGTTGGTTTGTGGTCGTTGTACAAAGCGAGGAAGAGACGAGAGAAGGTCACTTGCTACTTACTGAGAGCAACATTCTCTAGAGAGAGAGAGCAGTAGAAG